TGGTCATAACCCGAAATGTTCGTTAGTAGAGGCGTTCATAACCCGAGGTACCACTGTATTTTTAGTGGGACCCAGGAAGAGAGCTTTTTCTCTGTGGCACCCAACCCATGAAACATCATCCCCACAGACTTCAGATTGGCCTCCAACCTTCTTGGCCTTTAGGGAGGCCCTGAAGACATGGCCCTGCCACCGTGCCTGGCGGTTCAGCAATAGTGGGGAGCTCTTACAATGAGCTGTATTGAGCTGATGTGGGATGAATTCTGATCATGATTTTTTGAAATTGATTATGGACAGTTTTTATATGTTTGTATATTGCTTTTTAATTTGCTTTTATTGGTTTGTTTTTACCTGTTGCAAGCTGCCCAGACTGAGATGGGTGGCCGTACAAATCAAATTAATTATAATAATAACCAATAACATGCCCATATCAGTCCCAGCTAGCCAGGAGACATATTGTAAAGAATATGCTAGCTGTGCATGCAGCTTTATTAACATGCAAGGGAAAGATATGCAAATGTTAAATCACAAGTCCCGGCCAAAGCTTTTGGGAGATAATGTGGTAAATACATTTGAAAATCAAAACCCATACCTGGGATACTCACCAACTGCTTAATTAAAAGTTAGCATAGTTGAAAGCTATATGATTTGCAGACCATTTCCCTGGACTAATCATAAAGTTTAATTCTATTTGTTTAGACTTATTCATTATATCCATCCAACCACGCAAATGTCCTCCCTACTTTAGAATGCCCCACAAAGGGGTAAACATATTCCTTTCAACCTCTCAGCCATGGAGAATTCAGAAATAAAAATGCTACAACTTAAGCTTCCGGTCTTCAAGTATGTATCAGGCGGTGAGTGTCATCACCATTGTAAAACAAAGGAGATGTTGACATTTTCACGTCAACACACCTCTCACTTCTTGTCCTGACACAAGCTCAAAATATGTACTTAATGCCAGACATCAAGAAACTCATCATACTTTAAATGAACCTTTCAAAAAGTTTCCTGAGAAACCAGAAAGATATCAGCACTTTTACAGCAAAACCTTTCTCCTGTCAAGTGCACACAAGAAAAAAAAAATTGTACATTCTCATAATGAACATTATTAAACTGAAAACCAAGTGTGTTAGCATTTATTTTTAAAGTACAGTGGAACCTCGGGTTACGAACGCCTCTGTTAATGAATTTTTCGGGTTATGACCAGCTCCGGCTGCAAAAATTTACCTCGGTTTGCAAACTCCGCCTTGGGGTATGAACAGGATACGCGCCAATTTCCCCTCCCGTGACACAGTCCGCGGCCATTTTTCCGCCCCTGACACGTGGTCCGCGGCCATTTTTCCGCCCCTGACATGTGGTCTGTGGCCATTTTT